CGCCCGCGCTCGGCTGACCCCCTCGGGCAGCACGGGGCGGGCAGGCGACGGGTGAACACGCAAAGCATTATACGTATAATTCGCGTGAACGACAGGCTCAAAGGATTGAGCCCCCGGATTAATAGCTCCGAGTCGGTCCACAGAGCAGTCCGAAACATCCTGGCCCAGGTAGTCCCGAACGAAATGCCAAACGCGCGTGCAGGTCCAGAAATGTCAATGCGTGGTTTGGACGCTCGGGCATCCTAGGGGGCAGCATTCATTGTCCAAAAACGGTGGGTGGTGACCCAACTACCTGCAACACTTTTCAGGATCGCGCTGCACCGTGCAGGAGAGAGAGAGAGAGAGAGAGAAAAAAAAAATAGAGAGAGAGAGAGACAGAGAGAGAGAGAGGCCATCACGTTTCGTGCTGCATCCCACACACTATTGTCGACCTGTGGCCTGAGCGCAGGCATCCACGAGACCAGCCTGCAATGCATCGCGTCCTTAATACTGTTCGGGCCGGAGCTTAGCCACGATAAGCTTGCGTAGGGCCATTTGAGATGGATTGCGCGAGCGGGGAGGCGGGCATTGTCAGCAAGCCGCTCGTGCCGAACTCCTCGTCATCTGGGAATGCTCTGTAGGCTGCCTCGAAGCAACCGCGAAGGGCTCGAACAACCGCCAATAGGGCGAGCTGCGGCCAACGATCACTTGCGCGATGCGAGCCTCGGACCGCCAAACGAGCGCATATCACGCCGATCGCCGCGGGGGAACGAACAGCGCGGAGCCTTCAAAATCCGAGCGAGCCGCGCGAACTCCTGCCGACGAAGACGCGCGGGGGGAAAAGCGATCGCGCGATCGTACAGTTGCCCCCGAATCTTGCACACGCTAGCGTTAACCTGACCTGCTGCGCCCGTGGTGGAAAGCAGGAAGGGAACATCGCTTGATGCATGTCTGGAAAAGGTCACATCCAAGAGTCATGGAGCACGCCGGGGCCCAGCCGCATCCCGGACCGCGTCTGTGTCGTCGGCGCAGGCTCTGGGCCCATCGAGGACCGCCCGAATCTGTCTCAGGAAGGGGTCAAGACTGATCGAGAAAGTAAAGCCAGAAGAAGGCATCCCTGGAAAACCCCTCGCACGACCCAGAAAAGAGGTTCGCGGGCCCCACCGATGCGCCCACAGCACAGAACGCGATCGCGCAAGATCAGGGCGAAGGCTTCCAGGGGCTCGGGGGCCCCGCGGGGCGCGATGACCATGTTCACCCGCTGCTGCGTCACAGACGGGAATGCCTGGCCGAAGTCGAAGAACGCGACTGCCGTCATTGTCACTGTTTTTGAATCACTGTTTTTGAAGCCCAGGAGCCTGGCGCTTCCAGGGGTTCAAGCGCGATGGGGGTGGAGTCCAGGGGGGCCATCGCCGTGCGGATGAAAACGCCTGGCAGCTCATTGAAATCCCGCGCAAAAGCCCCCCCTCGTGTGCGCGGGGCATGCCGTCGCGCAGAACGCCAGCGCCATGGGGGCATTCGCCCATCCCGCGAGAGGGGGGACGGTCTGGGCCAGGAGAGGAGTGCCCGGGGCGGCGGAGATGGCCTCGCAGACCCTCGACCCTGGACATCGGGAGCTCAAGCGCCTCGATCTGCAAAGGGAACTGGCTCGCGAACGCCGCGGCCCCATCGCGGCCAACATCTCGGCCGGTAGCTGCGTTTTCTTTGAATGTCCAGCGAGAGTTCGGAGCATCTGGGGCGGCTCGGCGAGGACAGGGCCGCCAGGGGCGCGGGCGCCAGCAAGAGAAAGGCGACGGTCGAACGGCAGTCACAGCTGCGAAACCTCGAGGGGCCTCCCGGCCCTGCCCCGAAGTTTGTGCGGGGCCTGAGGGCCCCCGTGGGCGAGGGCGGCATCCTGGACTTGGGCCTGCTGTTTCAGGGCAGCCTCGGAATGTAGGTTATCCGACAGCTCTGCGGACACCTTGGGGAACGCGGGGCAAACGCTCGTTGCCCTGAAATCGATCAGCAAGTGGCCCCCAGCAAGACAGGGGCCAGCTCGCAATCGCTCGGCGAGGCGAACGTATTGGCGAAACACAGCACGCGCAGCGCCCCGAAGGACCATGCCTTTAGCTGGAAGCGATGTTGGACGACGAAATCTGATACAATCGTGAGCATGTCCTGCACCCGCCGCCAACCGGATGCACATTGCGCGCGCACGTTTGCGCCGCGCGTCTAGATCGTCCACGGGAGCGGACTGCGCAGCCGGCCGCACGAAGCGCTCGAGGTCCTCAGTCTCGAGGAGCTGCTTCGGGACGGGCCCCTGCCGCTTCGGCGTTGAGGCCTTCGAACCCTCGAAAAGACTGCCGCAGCGCCGCGGCCCAAAATCTCCCGAGCCTGCGGGCGCGTCTCCTTCTGATCCGCCAAGGCGAAGAAGAAGGACGCGGAGGAGGAGGGGGAAGAGGAGGAGGAGCAGGAGGAACAGGAGGAGGAGGAGGAGGTGAAGAAGAAGGACGAGGGCGAGGAGGAGACAAATTAATCTCCCGGCCCAGGACTTCCCCCTCCTTGCGGCGGGCCAGACCGTGACCCAGCCTCTGGGGCCGGCGAAAAGGCGCGGCCGGTGTGCGGAGCGCGTTTCTTCCCGCGGTGGTAGCGGGCGGAGTCCTCGAGCTGGCACTCCGTGAACCGTCCCATAAGCTCGGGGCGTTCAGCAGGAGCAGGAGGTGGAGGGGGCAGATCAGGACCACGAACCGATGTGCGGCACGTGTTTCTTCCCGCGGTGGTCGTTGGCGGAGTCCTCCAGCTGGCACGCTGTGAACCGTCCTAGAAGTATGTCGGGCGTGTCCCCCACGCAGGGGGATTTTCGACGAAAACAATAAAAAGCAAATGCACCAAAAATGCAAAACAAATACCATAAATATAGTCCCCAAATGATGTTTTTGATCATTACTGGTGCATGCAATTTTTTCGTCAAAATCCCCCTGTATGGGGGACAGGCCCGACTTAATCCTAGAAGCTCGGGGCATTCAGCAGGAGCAGGAGGTGGAGGTGGCAGATCCGGACCGCGAGCGAACGAGCGAAGGACCAGCAATGCGGACAGCAGCCCGGGCCTGGTTGGAGACCAGGTGAGCGAGGCCGCGGCCTCCAAAATACAAGGACCACCACGGGTGAGGCGATGGTGAGGAATACTGCCGAAGCTGAAATCTCCCACCAGCATCACAAGACGCCGCAAGGGATCCAGTTCGGCAAGAGAGAGAGAGAGAGAGAGACCGAACATAATCACATGTATATCCATGCGCTGATCAGCTACAGTGATGTTTTGGGTGAAAATGTGGTAATGCGAGATCCAGGCGGCGTTATCGACACTGGCGAGCTTCGCGTTCAATAGCAGACCAAGAACGAGGGGAAGGCGGAGACAACTGGGCATTCAACGCCACAGCTAGCTCGGCGATCTTGGGGCCCCACAGAGCTGGGCCCAAAAATGCCATCACACCACCAGCGGGGTGAGACAGAGGACAGAAGGAGGCAGAACATGGCGACAACAACTTCTTCAGATGATGCAGCACGTCGCTCACCTCGGCACCCGTCTGCAGCGGCCTGCCAAGATAGCGGCGCCGACGCAGACGGGCATTGCCCTTGTGATGCTGGAGGAGTCCGCGCGCCATGCAGATACGCGAAAGGGAACACGTTTGCGACTACAGCCGCTCCACAGCACGCGCTTCGTGCGAAAGACTCCACTGTGACGCCTCTGCCGCATGGATGAGCAGCGCCTTGATCTGCTGCTCGAGAATGCCGCTGTCGAAGCCCTCCGCGATGATGCTCGCCGACGCCCAGCGGATGATCGGCTCCGCGTCGCCCTCCTGCGGGGTCATATGCACGACCGGATTCCACTCGATGAAGACCGAACCTTTGACCCTGTCCGTGAACACCGTCCGCTGGGGGAAGTTGATGTTGGAGACCCGCTTGATGGCTTTGACGGCCTGCTCGGTCTTTGCATGCTTCGCGTTCTTGTCTGGCCCCAATTTTTCCGACCGTGAGCCAATGACAGACAAGCCTTCGAATTCGCGCCGTTCAACACCAGCCACCTGAAGGCCAAGAATATCCAGTGCTTCGAGGACCTTCCTGCTGACCCATCCCGTAGCACCACACACTTGAAGCCGGAATCGGCGGCTCGTTGTCAGACAGCTTCTGCCCCGAAGCCCACGGGTGGAGGACGTTCGTCACGGAGTCCTTCGCCATCTGCCCCATCGTGCGCACGACAATGATGGCGGCGTCGATCTCGCGATCCCGATTGGACAAGACCACCGGTGGAGGACGAGCTGATTATGCAGACCGCGCCAGCCGCAGCCCCGCCTCGAGGCGCTTGAGCTCGCTCTCCGTGATGTCCATCCGGTAATTGTCCTCTCGCAGCTGAGCCACAAACGGCTCGAGACGCTGATCGAGCAGATTCGCCAAGCTCGCACGCGTGGCCACCACCTTGTTCTGCATGCTCGTGACGGAGTCTTGGAGCGACTGCACGGACTGCTGGCACTTCTCCAAATCAGAGGATCGGTCGGCAAGGAACTGTTCGACAAGCGTACGGAGCCCATCAGCCTGTTCGTCACCTCCTGAGCCGATGATCTCGAAAATAGCTTCACTGCAAGCGGTTGATCCTGCTGATGCGCGCTTCGCCATCTCTCTTGAACAACCGCGCCCTCAGCTGCAGCCGCGACCCCGCGGATGAGCTGTCCTGGCGCCCAACTGCCGAGTGAGAACAGAAGTGAAGTGAAACTGCTGGGCGCGCGCTGGCCGCCCGCCTTGCCTGCGCAGGGGGGGGCTTGAGCCCTGGCACCAAGACTGATCAGGTTACCTCGCAACGTCGTTGCTTCCCACCTTTTCAGTCTTGAGCCAAAATCGCTACGAACCTCCTTCTCCTCCTCCCCCTCCTCCTCCTCCTCCTCCTCCTCCTCCTCCTCCTCCTCCCCCTCCTCCTCCTCCTCCTCCTCATCCTCCTCCTCCTCCCTTCCTCCTCCTCCTCCTCCTCATCCTCCTCCTCCTCCGTCGGCCTGCCAGTGCGGCCCATGACGCTGGACGCCGTGCCGGCCCGCGAGGGCGTCCAGGGAGTCCCACGGGAGCTGCTCGCGCAGGTCGTAGCGCAGGGGGCAGAAGACCGACGGGGCC